TTAGTAGGTATATATTTTTTAATTAAAAATAAATATAATTAGTAATCATTTTTAAATTCTTTTTTTATTTTTTAATTTGAAAAACATAATATTTTTTATTTTAAATTAAAATAAATTTCATCAACCATTATTTTTTTCCAAGTGTTTTTCATTATTTTATCACATTAATCAATTTTATAGGTCATAAGGATTTATCTAACAAGTTTTAGAATGTCCAAGGATTTATTTAATAGGCTTTGGATTGTCCAATGAATTATTTATTCCAAAAAAATTGTCCAAATACTTAATTATTCAAAATACTAAAATCTATTGGAATTTTTTAGACTTTTTCCATGTAAAAATCATTAGCTTATAAAAGTGAAAAATACACAAATTTAATACATGTGATGGGTCAAATGATGCAACTCAAGGAAGCTAAAATTTTTTTTTACGATAAATGTAACAAATAAACTCATACACCCTTCTTATCTTATGTGATGTTTGAATCCCTGACCTACTAGGAGGAGAAAGACTCGCGTACCGCAAGGTACCATAATAAAAGTTTTAAAAGTACGTTATTCAAAATAGGAATCAAGTTAAAATACATTATTTTTTCATATAATTTGAACCAATCGGTAATAATCAAACTTTTAATTCAAATTAAACAAATAAATGGAGCAAAAATTCTTATCTTTTAAAACTTCTTTAAAAAAATTCGTTCCGTCCATAAATATCTGGCACATAAAAGATCTCTTCCTTACTGGTCCCCACTACGTTTCACGCCGTCATCCATTTTACATCTGACACGTGGCACATAACGGTCAGGCGTGTCACCATTTCATTGGCTAACATTTCAGTCGCCAAAATCCGTCTTACGTCATTATTGTCTACAACCGTAATCTCTTGTAAACCTTACGACAGTATTCGCGTAATGACCGATTTACCCTTTATTTATGACGTGGCGCTATATCACTGATAAAAATCACAATCCTCGTATTAACGGCGGACTACACTTGATCATGTACGGTTCACCCCCATCATAAATACCATGGGCCGTATTGACGTATTGTCTACACTTCTTCACCTTATATCTCTCTCTCTTTCTTTCTCTCTCTCTCTCTCTCTCCCCCTCCCTGTTTCTCTCTCTCTCCGTCGCCGGCGGTAGCATGCTGGTGATCGTCGCCGATCAGTTCTGAAGGTTTAACGACTGATCGGAGTAGTTTTTAAGCATGGAAAGTACTGATTCATCCACGTCATCACAACAACCGCAGCTGCCTCCGGGGTTTCGCTTCCATCCCACCGATGAAGAGTTGGTGGTTCACTACCTGAAGAAAAAGGCCGCCGCTATCCCACTTCCGGTGGCCATCATAGCAGAAGTTGACCTCTATAAGTTTGATCCATGGGAGCTTCCAGGTTTGTGTGCTGATATATATATATATATATATATATATATATATATATATATATATATATACACATATTATAGAGAGAGAGGGAGTTTGATATGGGGAAAAACCAAAAGGAAATGAAAAAGTGAGAAAAAACCGATAACCATTTGTGTGGACGGTATGTATATATAAGTAATTGAAGATGCTTGATTTTTATGCAGATGTCCATGTTATACAAATAGCGGACAAATTGCTTACAAATTACTTTAAACATATGTGCATATCATCATGATGAACGGTTATCAAGATGTTTTTCAATTTTTCATTTTTTTACAGTTTTCAGTGAATGAACCCTAGGGTTTTTGTGGTGGGACGTCCGTTTTGTTCCTCCGTCTTATGTAAAAAATTACATGATCGTGAGAAATGTCACTGTATATATTTTGAAATTATAAAGAGCAGACAAGTTTTGGAGTTGGTTTGTAAGGATTTTCTTCCATCTAAGACCTGGGTTTGAATCCCATTAGTGTTATTTTTTTAATTTTTAGCTTTTAATTTCATATTTTTTACGTCTTTTAAAAAAATTTCAATAAAATACTTGAACACATGACATCACGTATAAAACGTAATTAACTAACCAACAAACTAATGATGATTTTATGAAAAATATGAGTATATTTGTTTCATTTAGTTGAATGGTACCACCACTTGAAAAATCTCCGTTTGTGTATATATACGTATATATGTATGTATATATATACGTATATATGTATGTATATATATACACGTATATATACATATATATATGTATATCATCTTCTTTGTTCAAGGATCTCTGTTTTGATAAGATTAGGGTTTAATTTGTCCAAATTTCTGTGAAAACAGCAAAGGCGGCGTTTGGAGAACAAGAGTGGTATTTCTTCAGCCCTAGAGACCGGAAGTATCCAAACGGAGCAAGGCCAAACCGGGCGGCGACGTCAGGGTACTGGAAAGCCACCGGAACTGATAAACCGGTGTTGACAGCCGGCGGAACACAGAAAGTTGGGGTGAAGAAAGCTCTGGTTTTCTATGGAGGTAAACCACCGAAAGGTGTGAAGACCAACTGGATCATGCATGAGTATCGACTCATTGATAATAAATCCATCTGCAAACCTCCTGGCTGCGATCCTGCAAAACATAAAGGCTCTTTAAGGGTATGTAATCATTCATATATATATATATATATATATATATATATATATATATAAGATTAATATATAATCTCATATATATATATATATATCTATACATATATATACATACACACATATATATATGGTTAGGTTTAGTGAGGATGAAAGTTATAATGAAAAGGGTAAAAATGATCCACTTTTGATCAATTCTTGTATCAAGCGCAATTTATAAATTAGGGTGAGATTAAAAGTGATAAGCCTTCATATTCTTTTTTATACTTCTCACCTTAACTCATATTCTTACATGATGGTTCGTCTCACACACATACACACGTGTGTATATATATATATATATGTGTGTGTGTGTGTATAGCGGTGGTTTTCGTTTATGAAATTATTCAAAACTCATAAATCGACATGTGCATAACATGCCCACATGTGTAAAAACCACAAAACTGATTCAATTATCAGTATGTACATGTGCATATTGTCCACATGAATGGTTACGGGGGTGTTCCTAAGTTTTTCATTTTTTTGAGGTTTTCCTCCGAACCTCCCTCTATATATGTGTGTGTATACATATATAGGGATAGGGAGGGAAGTTCATGGATAAACCCCTAAGAAAACGAAACATTGAGAAAGACTTTAGTAACCATTGATCTAGATGGTGTGTGTATATAAGTAATTGAAGATGTTTTTTGGTCTTTATGCACGTGGTCATGTTATGTACATGTGCATGCGTGACAAATTATTTACAAATTACTTGTATGTACATGTGTATACCAAACAAAGTATTTATAAATTACTTATACGCACACATTCATAATATTTAAAAAACCAAGGATGTTACTCAATTATCATGTGACCATGTATATAGTGGTGGTTTTGGTTTATGAAGTTGTTCAAAACTTTTAATTTAACATGTTTAATTTCCAAAAATTACTGTAAAAATATGAGAAGATTCATGGGTATATATATGTATATATATGTATGTAGAGGAGCGATCAAATGAAAATCATCCTCATTTGTAAAAACCGTACAAACCACCCTCATACATCGATTTAATTGTTTAATCTTATGAAATTTTTTCATTAAATTGTTTAATCTAATACTTTTTTGATGAATTTGTTTCATATATGGTTATGAAATTGTTTCATATAATATTTGATGAAATTTTAATGAAATTGTTTCATGTATTTCTTTAAAATTAAAATAATAAAGATGATATTATTCATGATTAACACCCTACACAAAAAAATGGTTTATCAACTTCTCATAATTACAAAAAAAAATGAACAAAATAAAAAATTATGATTGGTTGAACGAGGTTTTCACGATTTTTATAAATTGCGTGGTTTTTATTTGAATGTTCCCCAATATATGTATGTATATATATATGTGTGTATGTATGTATGTGTTTCTAAATATTTTGGGGGTTGATATAATTTGCAGTTGGATGATTGGGTTTTATGTCGAATCTACAAGAAAAGCAATATGCAGAGACCAATGGAAGGTGATCATCATGGTGGCAGCACCGGCGGTGACCTCACCATAAACGGCATGCTACAAGTATCTCCACCGCCGTGCCGGTTACTCAACCACCATCAGGGTATTATAAAACCCACCGGCGCCGGCGGCTGCACAGGGTATAACAATATCATATTGGAAAATCATCATCATGACCAACACAACAACATTAGTTTATTTGACAACATGCTAAACTCCAACGTCGATGATGACAACGATAACATCAACAACAACAACAACAACATTGCTTCCACTTCGAATCTCCTTTCATCATCGTCACCGGCGGCGTACACGAAGATGTTTCTGACGACAAACAGTATTTCCGGTGGAAGTCCGATGGGTGCACAACCGACGGCCACCACGGAGGAAAACAATAATGGGTCGATGGGGAGTTTAGTGCTGCCACAGCTTCACCAGCAAACAATGGTGATGGGTCCCGGAGAAAGTATTTTCCGGCAACCGTATCAGTTGCCGGACATGAATTGGTACGCTTAGATGAAATTTTGGGAAGTGGGTATGAATGGAATTTGAAGGAACATATGAAAAGATGGAATTTTTGTTAATTTTGGTAAGACAAAATGGACATGCAGTTGGTGTGAATGGGAAGGTGGTTTGGTAAGATGCCATGGATGATATATTTGATGAAGCAGTGAGAAAGCTGAGGTAGAGTAGATATAGAAGACAAGTATGTGCAGAGAGGCAGATGATTAATTATGTGAAAATTTGTAACTATTTTACGATTATTTTCAATAAATTCATCATCATATATATATACATACAGGTTAAATATATATATATATATATATATGTGTGTGTAGGGTTGGGTTTACGTGAGAACAAGGGTTTTTCATGAGATCCATAAGACTAATTTATGTTTATTGATCAACTTTATAAACTAATGATCTAATGGTCTAAAGTTACACGGTAACAATTTTGTGATTTTTGAGAAGTCTTGTAGCGTTTATGAATATTCAGATTGTCAGATTGTAAATCTAATCAAAAGGTTGAGAATTGGACTTACGGATCTTACGAAAAACCCTTAATCCCAAATGATCCCAAGTGTATGTGTGTGTGTGTGTGTATATATATATATATATATATATAGGTCATTTAAGGGAGAACTGATTAGTTTATGGTAACCGTGAGGTTCAATGTGAACAACTCGTTTGAGATATTTAAAGATATTTCTTAAATAAGCTAAATATAGTATATCTATTTTTGACAACTAATCAAAATATTTAATTAAACTTTTTAGAATGAAATGTTTAATTAAAATTAGTTACCTAGTATATCAATTACCTAATATACATTGTATTTTAAAGACGTTTGTGAATCAAAGTGTATTATAGTGGTAATGTTCACGTGTATTACAATGTATTTTATTTGTTTTATGAAATGTATCATAGTGTGAATTTTCGTTATTTTCATTGTTTTACAAAAAAGTATCATATTGTCCATCTTGTATGTATATTTGGGTATCACAATGAATATCGTTTGTAGGTATCATAGTGTGTATCTTGTGTTCATATAAGGTTTATCGGAATATGGTTCGTCGAATAAGATTTACCGGAGAGAGGAAAGAGGAGAGATTGAAGGATATTTATAAAATTCCGAAAATGTCCTTAATTAATATTTTAAGTTAAAATTACCTAAATTATTAATTTTCTAATTTAATCTTTGATTTGTGGTTGAGATTAAATTCTCACGGTTATCACAAATAAAAACAGTTCTCATTTGATTATAGATATATAATTTTCAAGAAATCTTGATTTTCTATAGGAAAATTTATGTATGGTTGGATTGTTTTCCATATGAAAATGGTTATATATATATATATATATATATATATATGTATGTGTGTATGTATGTATGTATGCATATATGTTACATGTACATGAAGATGCATTGTCTTTTGGATGGTTTTTTTCATGATTCCTTGGTCTATTCTTTTTGTGCAAAACCCTAAAAAAATTAGTGTATGGTATTAGATGAAAACTAGAAAACTCTTGGTGTTATCAACTTGTTTTATATCTTAATGTGTAGGTCATCACATGTACCTTTAAGATCCTAACAATCATAATTACCATAAACTCCATATATATATATATATATATATATATATATATATATATATATAGAGGAGCGTTCAAATAAAAACTTGTCCCATTTGTGTAAACCGTGTAAACCAATCTCATCCGTCCATTTTCTTGATCAATGGCTAAAATTAGTTTATTTTATTTTAGGAAATTAAAAAATAAAAAATATTAA